TAAAGACAATATAAAAAAAAAACAATGACACTGTCTCCAAAATGTTATGAACCCGTGGAAGCACTTAATATCACAATTCAGAGATAAAATACAATTATATTAGAAAACAAATAGGAAATGACTCGTTGCTAAGCATAGAGAATATTGCAGATAAAAATCAGTGTCTACACTGTTTGTACGATTTGTACTCGTTAGTGATTCATGCTGCCATAATAGGGACGGCATACATTTATCCGTTTGTTTCCTGGTCTTATGGTGTTATTGAAAGAGTCTCGTAACCGTGCTATGAACGTTTTGTACTCCATCTCTGGATTACTTTGACCAAAATCAAAATCTGCGACTTCCACTGTGAATCTTGATCTGCTCTGTATGTAATACGCAATACCAAAAACGATCAGTACCACTGCCGCGAGCGAACAAGAAACAGGCACAACAATTACTGACAATTGCGGTTTTGTTGTCACTGCAAAGTATAAAATATATGAGAATATTCCAATTTCATTATTACACGACAACATTAATGCCGATATTTTCAAAGATATACCTTTGTAAATATTTATTGTCAGAGGGTATACTTGTTTACTGACATCGTTATTCATTATAATTAGTATCGTATATACACTTGGCTCCAAAAAGTAATGGTTGATAGAAAAATTACAGGAATGAAGGGGATCAGCGCTGTTACACGTTTCATTTCCAGTAGGATTGTATTTTCCTCGTTGAAAATCAAGGCACTTATAAAAAGGTCCGGAACCTTTACAGGTCACATTCAAAGATAACATGTCCCACGGTTGAATCCAGTTCGTACCCTCCACTGTTATATTCATTATAGGTGCTAGGATTTAAAAACAATATAAACTGTAACATTTCGCATTGAATATTCATCGAGAAAAGTACAATACATTACTCACCACGAACATTGATCTTTTTGCTGAAATATCCGTAAGTCTTTTTAGGGTCTGGAGGTACTATTGATGAATTTGAACAGATATATGGTAAGGGAACATTTATACTGGTATTTGAAATGAGCGTTGTAACAGGTACTGTAGCAGTTGTCAATACTGTTTTCTCTGTTACAACAGTATCAGACACTGCAGTAGTTGCTACTTCTTCTACAGTAGTATTTGGTGCAATCAGATTTTGTTCAGTTGTAGAAAATGGAACAGATGTATTCACTGGTGTTTTTGGTGTTACTGTTGTTGTTGTTGTTGTTGTTGTTGTTGTTGTTGTTGTTGTTGTTGTAGTTGTTGTTGTTGTGGTTGTAGGCGGTACAGTTGTTGGTGGCTCAAACGATGCAACTACTAGCACTTCCAGCATATGTGATGCATCAGCATTTGTAAAATTATATTGAAAATCCAAATCAGTTGTTTGACCATAATATTTGCAATCTATAAACCAATAAGTGAATACCGATGTTGCGTTATTTAAATATTCAACATCTCCTCTACGCATATTTATTGTCATATTCGCTTCTGTTGCAGAAGAAACATATTTATCTCCTCCTGTTTTGTTAGGCTGTATAATCTCTATGTCGCCGTTAAGGAATTCTATAGAAAGATGACGTATTAAACGAGAACCCTTGTAACATGCAAAGGTGCTTACAGAATTATATATCAAATTTTTGACCTACCTGTTACATAAAACCTAGTACGTATGCTGGTAACTGTCGACCACAAAATGAAAAACTGCTCTTTTACTATTACCTCTACTTCGTATTCTCCAATGCTATAATTTTCACGTGGATAACTTGTACTCCAATACACTGTAGTATTCGATGTTACTGTCTACGAAATGATAAAGATGTATAATATTAAATTTAAACAATTTCAGAAATTCTGTGAAGAATATAAAATGTGAAATGTTTCATTTGTTTTATGTAGAAACACCTTTTGATGATAATAACTTTTTTCAATAAAATATTAAATAAATGTACTAACTTCGTATTCATGGGATGGCATAGCGTTATCTCTCCACTCATATTTAAAAGTACCTTTTGGCTTGCTACCATTCTCGAGGAAATCAGCTTTAAACGTTATAGTTCCACCTAACACTACAGGACCATCATGGGTTAATGTTATGTTGTACTTAACAGCGTTAACTGTGAAAAACAGAATCATGTAAAATCCTCCAAAATAATTAGAAATTATGTTTACGGCAAGGCGCATAATTACAACATGAAACGAACGTCGTAATTAAAAGAAATACATGTACCTGGCAGAATGGACAACAGGTACCAAACGAGACCCCACGAAAAATGCATTACCTGCATTTTGCACATTGATAAATCGTTACATTTAGTTCAGAAAATATTTATACTCCGTGATCTTGATTTTACTCTGCATGGAATTAAACGCATATCATAACGCCTCTGACTGTGACATGTTAGCATTTATGATTGCCAACTGTGTCATTCCATACACGCATTTTTGACAACTTGTTAAGTCAATTATGGAAGCGCAAATAATTTTTAGAAATCCCTTCTGAGGTTTATTTCGCTTCGGGTTTTATTAAATACTACAAATATAAATGTTCAAATTTCAACGACAATTCTTTACCCATTTCCAACTATATATTTATTGATGACAGATAAATTCTCTAGAGAAAAAAACAGTCCAACTACCTACCCAAATACTATACGGATTGAAACGAATCATCTTCACCCACGACAAAATATTTTGTATGATAGGAAAAATCGTATAATGTCACTTGCGAAGCGAAATTTCTATCGAAGCCTCAGCGTACACTTATGAAAACAAAACTATTTTCTTCAAGAATTAATTCCTATTGTATTATATATTATGTATTAAACATGCTTTTTTCTACTTACTTTTGCATTATTTTTGTCGTTGATTTTTTACAGAAAATCAAAAAAAATATATATTCTGTTAGACTGAATTCACTAGAACCACACACGACAGATATACATAACCTAACTTCACCATGATAATGTAGTGTCTATAATGCTCTCTTACCCAGGCAAAGCGAACCAATGAAAATCTATTTACATAATGGTTTTTCCACAGTCAATTATTTACCATGGGATTTAGTAATAAATACGTCGATAAGCAATCAATTAAAAATATAATATTGCATAAAACATGTAGGTACGCGTGTAACTTGGTAAAATTTCAAGGTGGTTTTAAAATAGTATATTTAACATTGTGCCGCTTGAAGCAACAGCATCATGAGTTTTTAAAAACAACTACACGCTACTGTCGATTTCTATGGCCTAATGTATATAAAAACATGAGATTTGTTTACCAAGTTTAATATAAATAAAAAAAGGCACGATGGTGCAAGTCCTCGAGATTCAAACAACTAAGTTGTCCCTTGAAAAAAGTAACGTCATAGTTGATTGGATCGATCATACCGATCCGTCGATGACATACGCTGATTTTTTTTCGAAATATTTAATTCCGAATAAGCCGTGTTTATTTAATTCCAAAGTGACGGAGAATTGGTCGTGCAGAAGACAATGGAGCTTGGACGACGCACCAGATTTTGATGCTCTTGATATATTGTTTGGTAAATATTTTATATATTACTCAAATTATCATATTATAAACACAATATCTTTAACAGAGAGATGTAACCGCTAACATTTATGTATTATTTTTTCAGTATAATTATTGTATTACTCTAATTGAAATCGGTTTTATTCTACAGGAAACGAAGCAGTCCCAGTCGCGGATTGCAATAAGAAGTATTACAATTCACAATCTAAGGATGACATGATAATGAGAGATTATTTAAATTATTGGATGGACTACAACCAGCTGAAAAGCAGTTTCTCGGATACTAAGTCACTTTTGTATTTAAAGGATTGGCATTGTCCTAAATTATTTCCTAATGCTCCTATGTATAATGTTCCCCAATATTTTGCGTCTGATTGGTTAAATGAATATTACATTGCAAATCCTGACTTAGACGACGACTATAGGTTCGTGTATATGGGACCAAGTGGGACATGGTAAAATATATTCTTTGAGTATTCAGTTTTGTGGTTTATCAAATGTTTATAAGAGAGAAACGTTCCCCTGTATTTAGGACACCGTTGCATGCAGATGTATTTGGATCGTACAGTTGGTCTGCGAATGTAATTGGAAAGAAACGTTGGTTACTCTTTCCTCCCCATCAAGAGGACTTTTTACGCGATATTAATGGCCAGTTAATATACGACGCAACATCCGATGAACTTAATGACTATAAAAAGTACAAAGCTTACGATAAACGTACATTGAGATACATTGATGTAATTCAGCAAGCTGGAGAGATTATATTCATACCTTCCGGATGGCACCACCAAGTTTGGAATTTGGTAACTCTGGTCAACTGTTGTTCTTTACAGTTCAAAGATATTTTACTTCTATATTTTATACGATCTTTTATTAATAGGAAGATACAATTTCAATTAATCATAATTGGATTAATGGATGCAATATTATGGACGTGTGGCGTGGACTGAAGAAAGAATTGTGTTCTGTAATGAAAGAAGTATCTGATTGTAAAGATATGAATAATTGGGTGGAACAATGCCAACTGATATTAAGATCAACATTTGGAATGGATTATCATCTGTTTCTTGATTTCATAATATTCATAGCTACACAGCGGTTAAACATGATTTTGAATAAGGAGAAGGTGATTAGTTTCAAGAAATACGAATTCGGAACGAATCATTGTATATTTGATCTCGATGCGATAAGATTGGTACTTATAGATTTCATTAATGACACAGAAGAAAAATCTATTTACGAGTTAGTTTGCGAAAGGAAACAAGCTCATACGTTGTTGAATAAAATAGTGAAATTACTGACTTCGTACAATCTCGAATCTTTATGCGAAACGCAAACGAATGGCAAAGTTTAAAATAAAACCTAATAAATTTTGTATAGTTGAAAGATTAATTGAAAAATGCATTTTTTTACAGTTTAATAATATAATAGTATAAATTATATTAGGTGAAATTTGAGTATATATATATATATTTAATTACAACAACAAAAAGGAGTTTCTTTTTTTTATTACATTTACGACATTGTAGCTGTTTTCATATTTCAGTAAAAACATTGTTGTAACATTAACAGTGCATAATATCTATTTAACAACAAATCGAATTATTTACTTAATATAAATACTTGTAAATATATATATATATATATTTATTCATACTGTAAATATTGTATATAACGCAATGTAAAAAGGACAATAAAATACAGAAAGTGAATTTATTCTGATTATAAACAAAAAGGTCTTGTATATTAGAGTATTTTAGGTCATATTAAATGGAATACCTTTGAAATCTAAATAATAAGAGAACGTACACTGCTATTACATTACCATGAAACATAAGCAAAGGAAGTTTATTATGCTAAGCTTACTGATTTAGAGCTCTGTAAATATGCGATTCATTTTTGTATCACAAAATGCCCTCGATGATTGATACAAATGTAAAATTATAATGTGACACTCTTAAGACAGGACGCATGATCTCTAAATTTTCGTATCAATTGGAAATAAAGAATCCTCTGTTATAAATAATTTTGAAATATCATTCTGCAACAGTGATAGTTTTTTCCCTATGCGTATATGTATATATATATATACAATATATATATATATATATATACAATACATATACACGCGCGCGCGCACACGACATACACACACACGCATAATGAGGATACTAGAAAACATATATGAAAATATAATGAAAATTCATCAATATTAGAAATGATGTTATATGAACTTTCCGTTAACAGAATTAATGTACGTGTGTATGGTATATGTATAAGATCGTGTAATAAGATCGTAGTATGTATGTATATGTGATATCCTTAAAATGTTCGTAATTTTTTTGATTTTGTATATGTACCGTTTGATATGAATTTCTTATGTTACGCTCCATGTAATTTGAAACTCAGACACATCCTACGTAAAACAACAAAGACT